TGTCTGAGGTTGCCTTTGTGTTTATAGTAATCTAAATGTCAAGTAAACTTGAGCCCGAGGACTTTGCCATTGAGATCTATCAATTCTCAAGTTTGAGAACATTATTCTGGGCTATGTATGTACGCTCAATCCAGACTTAAACAAAGGAGTTACATGTTTTTAAAAATATCCACTGAACTAATCAACTCATAAACAGTTGAGGCTTACCAGATTATAAACTCCTTAGAGACAAAGGACCTTATAGGTTGTAGACCTAAAAAAATGTTGATTACACTTTACCATTAAACACTTGACATGCTAACAGAAAAGAAGTCAGAGAGACCTTCCATGCCTCTGAGAAGGTTATATTACTGGGCAGACAAAATCAACACATAGAGAACATGTGAACTTATCTAAAGACTGCGTGTGGTTCTGATTGTAAGTGCTAAATTACTTCTTGACAAACGTGAACTGCAGAATTGAGAAATGGATTTATAGTACAAGAATTTAAATGGACCTTAAGAATGTCAAGAATTTACTTACAGAGAACAATGAGAGGTATTCTAAGAAAGAAATACAAGGGTAAAAGTCACAGAGGTCAGAAAGGAAAAGTGGGTAGAAGAAAAAAGACAAGACAGTCCAGAACAGAATCTGAGGGAGGAAAAACAAATGCCTTGAAAAACACAACTTAAAACAGACACAGAAGGAAATAGAAAATCTGAATTGCACTATATCCATTAAAGAAATGAAACCGTAATTTTAAAACTTCCTGAAGAAAGAAAACTCTACACCCAGATACCACCACTGGTGAATGCTATTAAACATTTAAGGAAGAAATTATTATAACAATAATACACAATGCTTTTAGAAAATAGGAAGAAGGGAACATCCCCTACCTTGTTTTATGAAGCCAGTATTACCTGAATGCCAAAGTCAGACAATGACATTACAAGAAAATTACAGATTAATATCCCTTATGCCTACAGAGATATTTGCAAATTGAATGCAACAATATATACATTAGAAAAAAAGGTTGGGTGCAGTGGCTCATGTCATAATTGCAGTACTTTGGGAGGCCAAGGAAGGAGGATTGCTTGAGCCCAGGAGTTCAAGACCAGCCTGGGCACCATAGTAAGACATCATCTCTACACCAAAAATTAAAAATTACCCGGCATGGTGTTGCATGCCTGTAGTGCCAGCTACATAAAAGGCTAAGACAGGAGGATCACTAAAGCCCAGGAGTTTGAGGCTATGGTGAACCAGCACACAGTGCCATGATCACGCCACTGTACTCTAGCGTAGGTAACAGAGTTAAAGTCAAACTCAAAACAAATAAACAAAAAATCATGACCAAATGAAATTTGTCCCAGGAATGCAGTGTTGATTTAATGTTTTTTTTTTTAAAAGCAATATAATACAGTACGTTAACAGATTAAAGAAGAAAAAACAAACACCATCTCAACAGCTGCAGAAAAGGCGTTTGACAAAAATCAACACTCATTCACAATAAAAATTCTCAGCAAACTAGGAATAAAGAGGAAATTTCTCAATCTGATGAAGAGTATGCAAAGATGGAATGGAACAGGAAAAACATGGAGTTAATTGGGAGGAAGAGGCCAAGATGCAGGAGAAAATTCTGGATAGTGGGGTCTCATGCCAAGAGAGCAGAGTGTTTCAAGGAGAGAAAATGGTCCACAGTATTACATGTTTCTGAGGCTGAGAAGGAAGAGGACAGAGACACATCCGTGGAGGTCACTGCTGGCCTTGAAGACAGCAGACTTTCTACTTTTCACTACCCATAAAGCTGTTCTTAGTGTGCCTCAGAACTACTTCACATATCTCCTTTTGAGAACAAAGCAAACTGACAAATTAACAAGTTACAGAAAAAGGAGAGTTTGTTAAATTTTTCTTAGACCTTATGCATGATTTTTAGCCTGACTTCAACATTTCTATTTAATACAGTAGAAAGCTCAGTGTTTAGAATAAAGCTGACACTCAATGACCATTTATTGACTGAATTAATCAAGGCATGTATCAGAATCCATTTGACAATCTCAAGTTAGATAGACCCTTCCTCCTTAGAGTGAGGATCATTGAACTTAACTTGAGTCCTATTCTACTCAAACTCAGAGACTAGGATTTTAAAATGACAAGGAAGCTCTACAGGCTTTTTCCCCACTGTTGACAATTAAACCAAGATTCCTGTTTCTCTTTTGCCATAGCACTTAAAAATGACCAGACAAGTTTCACCGAATTGGTGGCTGTATTTGAGATGACTTAAATATGCACTATGAAAATTAACAAGAAATTAATTTCAGAAGAACCTTAAAGGACACCCCCAAAACATGGCTTATCATCTTAAACAGAGCACCTGAAACTGAGGAACAAAAAAATAAGCCTAGGTGCCTGCTGTTCCACAGACTGACACCATAAACCAAGTAACAAATAGTGGTTTCAGATATAAAACACAAACCAAGTTATAGGATAGATAATACAAACTGCAGGACATGATATGCAGTCTAGCTGCTTCTCAGTGGACAGCTCTATGCACTATGCTCTAGGCAGCGGAGAGAAGGGATTCATTTTTTAAATGATGGCAAATCACTTTCCTGAGCAGCTCTGAGCAAATTAGATCAGTATAAATAATAATTACAGCTATCACTTATTATGGGATTATTATGTGCCAGACATATGTACTATCTTATGTAACTCTCACAACAACTCTGTGAGGAGAAATTATTGTTATCCCTATGTAATAGATGAGGAAAGTGGGATGCAGAGATATTAAATGACTGTGCAGTATTAACTCAGCTAGAAAGTGGTAGGTTTAAACCTAGGTTGTCCAATTCCTGGGTCCAGTCTAGCTTTGGACTTCAGTTTATGGTAGGAGGACTCCTTATCTTTTGGGCCTGAGTGACCTGTAAGGGTCCCAGTGCCTCTGGGCCTAGGGCTCTGCCTTGAGCGTCCTCTATAGCACCTCATGCCAGTCAAGAGAATCAGAATCCCACCCACATCCCTCATACCTAACTGCTTACAGGCTTCCCTGCACCCTATCATAAATGTATATGCTTGCTGTAAAAGCTTAATCTTCAGCAATTAAGGACAACTCTAGTTGAAAGAATCACATTAGATCAAGAATTGTACTTTAGGCAAAGAGCCAATTCATTCTGTCCCATCTCTTTCTAATAAAGTAGAACATATACCTCTGAATTTGGTACTACAAAATTATTAACTCTTCAAGTGACAAAGATGTTACAACTTGGCCCCCTTTTAGGAATACTCCTTGCTGCCAATGTCCAAAGAGCATAAATTTGCAAACCAGTTGTGACAATGGATGCACTTAACTTTCTAAAATGAAATCTTTATAAAGAAGCAGGAGGCAGCAGATATCATTTTTATAAGCCCTGACAGGTTAATAATAGCAATAGCCAGTAGAATGCCAGTAAACATTTAACAGTTGGCTCTTTGTTTAACAAAAGACCCTGATTTATACGTTTGCTGACTTCCATGGTGTAAATACTCCCATCATGGTGGATTTCAAGTTACCAAGGTGTTGGGTTTGGTGGCTCAGCCTGTAGTCCCATGCTTTGGGAGGCTGAGGTGAGCAGATTGTCTGAGCCCAGGGTTTGAGACCTGCCTGGGCAACTTGGTGAGACCTCATCTGTACAATAAATCAAAAAATTAGCCAGGCGTGGTAGCATGTGCCTATAGTTCCAGCTACTTGGAAGGCTGAGGTGGAAGGATCACCGGAGCCTAGCAGGTCAAGGCTGCGGTAGCCGGGAGCATGCCATTGCACTCCAGTCTGGGCAACAGTGAGACTCCAACTCAAAAAAAAAAAAAAAAAAAGTTACCAAGGTGACGAATAAACACAGTTGGAAAGAGAAGTCCACAATTAACTCTCAGAAGCTCTTTTGAGCAAGTTCCCATCCACTACTGGCAGTTGTTAATATTTATTACCTAATATATTATTACTTTATATTATAAAGCATTACTTATTAAATTTATTAATGTTTATTACCTCTAGTAGTTACATACTATGCGCTAGGCATGTTCTAAGTGCTTTACAGTCATCCTCTTTGAATCCTTGTAATAGGCCAATGGGCAGGCACTATTTTATCCCCATTTTTACAGATGAGAGGAAACTAGGTGTTGAAGAGGTTAATTAATTCACTAGTCAAAATGGAAATGTGGGCTTTGGTTGCTAAATAAGAATGACAATGAGTATTTAACACAGCTTGTGAGCTGGCATTAAATCCTGGCAGTTTGGTTCAATGGCCCATACTCTCAGTCCCTCTTTGATCCTGCTTCACTCCATAGGTGGTTAAAGAAGGTACTATGATCACTATGACCCCATCTCACAGATGATGTGTTGCTAAAGAATAAAGAACAGGCTCTGAGGTAATGAACAATGGGGTGAAGAGGAAAGACCCACATCAGCCAAAGAAGAGTCTTTGTCCTCTGCCCTCCTGGTAAATTTCACCTCATCCTTCAAGACCCATGTCAGATGTTCTCTGTAGTGGAGCCTTTCCCATCTCCCCAGAGTTGTTATTCCCCAAATATTTTTTCTTACAAGATTTTATTTTTTTCCATTATAAAATAAATACATGCTCAGAGAACATAGAAAATACCAAATATGGAAAAAATCTCTTGCAACTCCATTTGCCACTCACAGCTTTGACCCATATCTGTACCATTGGCTTCAGTCCCTTATACAATAACTCTCTGCTTATGAGTGAGCTCCTCCTGGAAAGTTATCAGTGTTATCCACATTTATACCTACCTATCACCCCATCTCCATCCCTAGAACAACACCCAACACATGCCCCCCCCAACAGTTAATCTTGATGCTTTATTATATCTTCTGATTCATAAAATGAAACACTGGGCTTTTCACATTCATCTTTAAGGCTGTCCTAATCTTAATTAAAGTTGGTTTTCTTCATTTGTCTTGAACACACATCACTACATTCTCATCCTGAGTGTGGCAGACAAGGGCTGTTCCAGCAGCTATCTTTTCTTACCTGCATCCCTCTCATCTTCTGAAACCGTGCTATGGTGTCGCTGATGGTGTAGACACGCACGTGGCCCATGTGCAGCTTCCCAGAAGGATAAGGGAACATGGAGAGCACGTAAAATTTGGGCTTTGATTTCTAGGAAAGAATGACAATGAGTATTTACTGAGCATTTTCTGGGAACTCTGCATGCATACATAATATTTTGGCATTTTACCCAAAGTAATAATTTAACATTTTAAAATTTTCCTTTCACAAAACTGTTCCCAGAATGTAAATTGACAAAAATGCCAAAGACCAAAACTTCAAAGTCCTGGTTTAAGCTAAAGAATGTCCAACATAATGTCAAACAACCTCTAAGTGCTAATTACCTACACGTATTTTTAATTTTTTTCCTCTCTTAAAAGCTTCTCTTTTAAGACAGCTTCTATCTAGGTCTTAAAGAACGATCTGCTTTTCCAAAGGAAGCTCTAACACATATATCCATATAATTCAAGGAAACAATAGTTAAATCACATAGATGTAACATTTCTAAAAACAGAATCTCTTTCTAAATTCCCTAGAGCTGCATTCAGACTTAGATTTAGCATTAAGAGCAGGATCCTAAGGACCCAGTTTGGGTCCTGAGTTTCCCCACTGTATTGTGAGCTTATCTTTCAACAAGAAAAGTTGAAATGGGAAGGTAAAGCAAGGATCTTAACCGAAAAAGGGACGAGGTTGTTGTTTTCCAGGGGTGATAAATAGGCAGCCTCAAACCAGGGTTACATAACTCTCCAGCTTCCAAAGAAGCAGCTTCATCATGAGAAACACAAGAAACCTGTATAGGTATCAGAACAGAATGAACACAGGGCAAGGAGTCCTTATAAGGTCACTGACTTTTGTCACCTTGGATCTTCCACTGGTGAAATGGTGAATGTTGTTATTTGTTTGTGCATATAAGGAGATAAGGCAAAGGTGGCAATCACTGAACTGAGTCCTTCTTGGGGGAACCTATTGTTCAAGGGTAAGGACTGTGTTTTAATCATTTCTCCAATCCCCCAGCAGGAATTTAATACCTGTTGAATAAATGTGTGCTGGTCTTTGTGCTCCAAAACCCTGATTACTGGTGGAGCTCTACTGACCAAAGGGTATTTTCCCCAGCAAATTTCATAAATTCAGGTACCAGGAGAGTTTTCTCTGCCCATCCTTAAGTCCTCTCATGGCAGCAGAGAGGGGGCCTCTGGAGAAATGAAGAGCAACCAGTTAAGTGTTTCTGTTTGGTCAATGAGGGTCAGACTATCCACTATTATCACTGTTTGTTTTACTTATTTCTGCCTTCTGTTTTTCTCGTTCTGGTCTTACTCCCTTCCTAGGGCTTTACTAGAGTTCTTTAGGGATTTGCTTCCCCCAAAGTAATGAAAACAAATGCAAAATAGGATATTCACAACCTTTCTTTTATGCATGTGTATGGGAGGATGCTGAGTATTTACATGACTGATAGTATTTACATGACTGATAGTGACATAGCTAACTATAATTAGGGAACCAGAAGAAACCAGAAATCACGCAATAGATAACATAAGACCGTGAGAAAAATAAAGAAATAAAAAGTTAAATAAAATAAAAAAGGAACTAGGAATCAGATTCTTGCCAAGAAGTACTTAAACTTCCTTCAGCAAAGAAGTTAAATAAACCTTTAACAGAACCACTAACAAGTGGCAAAACAAAACAATAGAGGGGAATTTTTCTCTGTGATGCCCATCCTCTAGAAATTACCAAGGAGTGGTAAGTAAAGCTGTCTGAAGGAAGAGAAGAGAAAAAGAGAAGATGTAAGGAATCTGTATCACACACAAACTAGCAAATCTTCTGGAACTGCTGAATTGACAACTGTATTTGATTTACATAAACAGGATGGAAAGCAACACATTGATCATGCACTTTAACTGGAAATTGTGGATTCATAACTCAGGAAAACTTCAGGAGTGTGAGAGAGAACCTGAGATTCAGAGGTCTATAGGGACCTAGGAACTTAAATGTCTTTAAGAACGTGAGTAAAGGTGGGGAATGGTGGCTCAAGCCTGTAATCCCAGCACTCTAGGCGGCAGAGGTGTGAAGACTGTCTGAGTCCAGGGGTTTGAGACCAGCCTGGGCAACTTCTCAACAATAAATAAAAAAATTAGCCAGGTGTGGTGGCATGCGCCTATAGTTCCAGCTACTTGGAAGGATGAAGTGGAAAGATCACCTAAGACCAGCAGGTCAAGCCAGCCTGGACAACAGAGCGAGACTCCAACTCAAAAATAAATAAATAAATAAATAAATAAATAAGAAGGTGAGCAACATATAATTTATAACCCTCTCATCTTGTGAACAAGTCCCTCCAAGGAGGTGCAAGACCTCATTCTTTCACTTTAGTTCAGAATCATAGAAGAAAATTATGCACTCAATTCAAACCTTACTCCTCCTTGCAGCAAACTAGGCCTATGACCTTTTCTATGGAAATTTTTAGGAATATGGGAAAACAGCAGTTAGAGTTCTCTGGAGCTAGAAAAACAGTAACACTGTTGATATAAGCTGCTTCTAGCTTTTCATTTTATAGTTCTTACATAAAATTTTTCTTCCATTATAATCACCTTGTTTTTATTATACTAATGTTTATTTTGTTGTGTTTATTTAACAATCTTGCCCCAAACATTTTCTACCCATAGCTTCTTTACTGCATCTCTTTTGTAATATGCTTGTGCAATGAAGATTAAATTAATAGCAAAATCAAATGAATCATTACATACTAGCTAAGCCAAAATCCAAATCTGAGCTTATAAAGGGTATGTGGGAAAGCATTGTTAGCAAAAGTCTTTAATATTTATAAATAGTTTTTGTTTATTGCAGAAAAGGTATTCAGCTTACTGCTTGTTCCTGCCTTTTGCTTTTCTGCGTGAATTAAGTCATTTTCCTTTGTGACAATGAAATGAGTTTTATTGTCTGGGGGTGGAAAGGAGGGAAGGCATTATGGGAGCTTATGTTATAATTGAGTAGGAATCTGATTGAAAGGGAAATTTTCATAATTACATAAAAATGTAAGAATTTAAGCCTTTAAAAGAAATTAAGATTGTAAGCAACGGGGAAATGATGGCTTTTATAAGTGGATCCTATTATTTTTGTCAGCTTCTATCTTTAGAAGACAACTTCTGCCTCTTTAAAGATCATGCTCTGAAGCTGCGGCTGAGCCCAGAGGCTGGCAGAGTAAAAGGGACACCTCAACAGGAGTCGGAGCCAGTTCTGGTCCTAGCTTTGTCACTAGCTGTGAGGCCTTGGGCACATTCTTTTGCCTTTCTGAGATCAGTTTGCTATCTGTAACTCAAAGGTAGACAAGAGAAGGTTCCGCGTGAAAGCATGAGCTCAGGAATCAAATGTGTCTGAGTTTGAATCCTGGCTCTGCCACATGCTAGCTGTACATCTTGGCAAGTTACCAAACCTTCCTCTAAGCCCGTTTTCCTCCCCTCAAAATCAGGATAATAATACCTATCCTCAGGGTTGTTTCAGGATTAAATGAGATAATCAACTGAAAGATGGTGCCTGGTACATGGTAAAATGCTCATTAAAAGTTCTTTTTTAAATGATAATTATGGCGATGGCAAGACATTCAATTTCTAAAAACTCACTTGGGTGGATTTCAAGTGTATCTAATACCAGAGCAAGATCAATTATACATGCTTCAAACTCCACCAGCATCCCGTCATATTCTCAGTTCCTAATAAAGACACGCCACAGGTTTTGATCCTTGGTTATCTTTTATTTATGAAACACTTCAGCTTGTAAAATGTGTGCAGCCACATTTTCAAAACATTCTGTGAGATAAACAATGCAAGCAGCCCAAGGATTCAAGAGGTTAAGTGATGTGGCAGGCATCATGCAGACTTCTTGGGGCAGAGCCAGCATCACAGCCCAGGCTCGGGCTCCTCAGAGTGCTCTTCCCACATCACCATTACCTGGCTCAAACCTGAGAAAGCGCTCCCAGAGGATCACACACAATAACCCTTATGCTATTTCCTCAATCTTTGAAATCACTTATTTTGGTCCCTTTAATGTTTTTAAAAACTACATGCTTAAGAAGAATGAGTCGCCACAAAATCAATAAGCTACATCTTCAAAATGTTTGGAAGTTCTTAAATTAAGTCTAAACCAAAGAAAAAAAATTAATTTTATTGCCTTCACTAAGAATTAAATTGCTCCCTAGAGTTCATTTTCAAAATACTTAAACATTTAGTCTGGTCATGGTGACACGTTTTTCACTTACTAGTGAAGTAAAGTCAAGTTTTCATTGTAAAATCATGCATTACATTCAAACCTTCCTTGTTATCATTTCATTTGACTTGTTATTCACTACATCTCTCTTAATACCAGATTTTCTTCCTAACCAATTCCCAAAACTGGCCTTCAGTTTACCATAAATAGCTTCCCTTCCCTGCCTATTTTTCATGATGACCAATCTCATAGAAAGAATGACAGTGAGTATCAGGAGATGGGGAAAAGGCAAGTCTAGTCTAGTGAGTTGCGGTCTTGTGCAGTTACACTTACCCAACTGCCTTCCTTGGGTCTAATCTCTGTAATTAAACACAGATTATCTGCGTTATTTGACTGTAACTATTACAAAGGAATTGTCAGAATTTAAGAGGAAAACTCTTTTCTTCACTCTGATCAGATTCAAACATTTCATGTAACAAATTACATCTCCCATCTGTCATCCTGAACAATATTAACAGGTAAGGGGTAACACAGGCAAGACAGATCCCCAGCAAGCTGGCCTCCTAGAAAGAAGCAAGAGCACTCTATGGAAACCGGAGACAGCCAAGTACTTAACACAATTAATTCAAGTAAAGAGCTGATGTGGTGCATGTGGACCAGAACCAAGAGTCTACTAACTCATCTAGCTGGTACCACAAGGTTGGACCCCAACCTCAGATTACACTGAGGAGGGGCTGGTATTCCCCAAACCATGACACTGAGGTGGCAGAACGGGATTGGAGGCTAAGGTCAAGCCAGGGGAGGAGTAGATACTTCTCAGAACACGCAATCAGCATGGGGCTCAGATCTGAAGCTGCCAGATCCCTGTGTGCTGCCCTAGCATGCAATGGACCACAGAGGACCCAACAGCTGCTAGAGTTCCTGTTTTGATGAGCATCCCCCAGTAAATGCTGCTCCAGAATGCCTGGTGTGCTGCTGTTTGCCATGCACCTTGTGTGCACAATCTTACCATGTACAAGGGGGAACCAAAAAACCCCGAACTTTATTTTGGAGGGGGAGTCCCTTGTTGTACAGGCTTCTCCTGCTAGGTAAGCGCTCTAGGAACCTATCGACATCAGTGTACTAGCTAGCACTGTTGTGAGAAGCTGCGCTTGGCTTCAGTGAATTTGCTTTGGAGTTTCTTTCAAAACACTTGCCCGATTCATGATGGGTGATTTATAAGCACACCTGCCCATCCCACTCTGAGTGTACAGCAGGTTTTGATCAGAAAACGGCATGATCTCTGTGCTCCACCCTCCCTATTCACCCAATCTTGCCTGGAGCAACTCTTTTTTTTTGTTTCCCTGGATGAAAAAAGTCCTCAAAGGGAAACAATTTGCCGATGTGGAAGAGATGAAACAAAAAATGGCAGAAGCACTAATAGGCATAAAAATCGACAAGTTCAAAAACGTTTTGAGCAAAGGAAAAGCCATCTCAGGCCAAGTGCAGTGGCTCATGCCTATAATCCCAGCACTTTGGGAGGTAGAAGTAACTCGGCAAGACCTTGTCTCTACAATAAATCGAAAATTAGCTGGGCGTGGTGGTGCATGCCTGTAGTTCCAGCTACTAGAAAGGCTGAGGCGGAAGGATCACCTGAGCCCAGCAGGTCATGGCTGTGGTGGCTACATGAGAGAGTCACTGCACTCCAGCCTGGGCGACAAAATAAGACTCTGACTCAGAAAAGAAGGAAAAGAAAAAGCATCTTGATAGGTATATTGCATCAAATGGAGAGTACTTTGAAGGTGACTGAAGTTTAAACATGTAAGAATACGTAATTTTTTACAAATAAATTCTGGGTTTTATGGTGTTCCCCCTTGCATACACCCACCACATGGAAACTCCTCTAAGCACTACCCTTGTATCATCTCATTTGCTGTGATGGTGGGCACTATTATTATCACCCTCCATTTTAGAAAAGAAAACTGAAGTACAGAAAGATTCAGTAATTTAGCTCAGGGTCACTTACTTAACATATTTGAACCCAGGCAGCCTGACCCCACAGTTCAATCCCTTAGCCCCTCTTCTATACTCTCTCAGAAAACTCACATCAGCTTCTGAAACTTTGGAGAACTGTTCTTTTATTCGCTGATGCCACCATTTCTCAACATCCTTTCTTGTCTGTAACGTGTACTCTTTCGTCCACTTTCCTGTAGCACTGTAAATACTTCTGATACATCCTGGTGTTGTTTTCCTTTCCCACTTGATGCCAGCAGGCCCACCATTTAGCTGTCTTTTCAGAAGAGAGGTATAAAAACCTAATCTCTGCCAAGCAGGAGCCATTCTTCAGAAGGTGAGAAGTCCCTGGAAAACAGAACAGAAAGCAAACTTATGAGCTGCCCAAAACCCTCTCCAGAGCTTACCTTTCCATTCAGCACTGCCCAGTGTTCCATGCCCATTCACATGCTTTCCTCTTATTCTTTTAATGATTCCTTTCTCTGAAAATACTTTATAGATTCAATTGAGCTAAACACAAACTTGTTAATAGAAAATATAAAGTTGGTCAGTGCCCCCCAACACCAAAGATACAAAAGCCCTGTAGGAACAAATGGAGACCACCAGCTGAGCAGCTCCTGTACAACCTCATGAATCTCATGAAGACAATGGAGCCCACTCCTTCCCTTCCCTGTAGGCCATCCCAGGGTCTCTCCAGCAGGCTTTACTTCCCACTTCAGGCCTCAGAAGAGAAGCACTCCAGTCACATCTTACTTGGCCTTAGTCTCAAATATCAGAAGGGGTCTGAACACAGGTCTCCCAGGAGGGCAAGATACTCTGAGTTATTATTAGCATCTTTCATAAACATTATGAGTTAAATAAACTCTGTAGGCTGAGCTGGGAAAAAAATCATTATTTAGAAGACTGTTTATTCATTTAGTTCCTCATCAATTTATCATTTTTTTTTAAGAGACAGGGTTTTACTCTGTCACTAAACTTCTTTCTTCTTGCATGATAGCATTTAAGAAGTGCTACAGTGAAAAAAACATAAAAACAGGTCTTTTAAAAACAAGACAGAGGAGTCAGGCATAGTGGCTCAGGCCTGTAGTTCCAGCTACTCAAGAGGCTGAGGCCAGAGGATCGCTGGAGCCCAGGAGTTTGAGGATGTGGTGAGTTGTGATCATGCCACTGCTCTCCAGTCTCTACTCAAAAACAAACAAACAAACAAACAATAGAGTAATAAAGAAACCTGACATGGCATTCTAAACTAGTGTTAATTCTTTTATTCTCTCAAAATTCTTTCCATATCTGTTAGGGTTTGGCCTTTCCACAAAGGTATCATAAATGTTGATAGAAAAGTCAATATAGGTTTCTAAAAGTGCATTTCACATTCACGTAAAATGACATCATAGTGTTGGCATATTACAAGTTGGTCTGCCAAAGTTGTTTACATACCAATTCTCATTGCATTAAATAACTCTTTAGGGATGGAAGCAAATAGAGACTAAAAAGGGGAAAAAATTCCCTATTAATTGGACTTGGTTATTTTAAAGTGTATAGATGTGACTATAGGTATGAGGGTAACTATATGAAATTCGTTAAATACTAGCAATGGCCCATATGAGTAACCTAATATGTATTCTTTGCACACTTAAGGCAACTGTATTTGTTTTTAGGGCTTAGGTTTTGTATAATTAGAACTATCTTCAAGAGTCATAGATTTTACAGTTCTCTTGCTAAGACAGCATTTCCACACCATTGCAAGCCAAAGAATGCCTGTTTAGCAGAGGGCACACAGCTAGATACCTACTATTTCTCTCTTAGACAGCATTCCCTAAGAACACATAAGGACAGTGTTCTGGGTTATCCTCTCAAATAGATACAATGGGAAACAACAAAATTGGGAAATACAATTGACCTGAACTACAATCTCACAGGTTTTGGGTTTCAACGCTGGTTAGCCATTGTGATAAATGGAACATCAGAGAATGCAGACAGATCACCAATACAAAAAATATGAAGGATGGACATTCTTTCATTTAGAATTTAAATCCTGTCTCTATAACTTACTCATACTATACACCAAATCATAAACAAAACATAACATTACTCTTTGTTTTTTTGTGTGTTTTTTTGAGTTGGAATCTCAATGTCACTCAGGCTAGAGTGCAGTTGCACACTCATGGCCACGGCAGCCTTGACTTGCTGGGTTCAGGCGATTCTTCCACCTCAGTCTTCCAAGTAGCTGGGACTAGAGACGTGTGCTACCATGTCCAGGTAATTTTTTGACTTATTGCAGAGATGAGGTCTTGCCATGTTGCCCAGGCTGGTCTTGAACCCGTGGGCTCAGGCAATCTTCCCGCCTTGGCCTCCCAAAGTGCTGGGATTACAGGTGTGAGTCACCGCACCTGGTATGAGTCCTGTCTCTGTAACTTACTTATACTACACACCAAATCATAAACAAAACATAACACTACTCCTTGTTTACACAATAAGAACAAGCTGGGTTTACATAATACCCAGCTAACTAATAAGCTCTCTTTTGCATAATAATCCAAAGGACTAGAGAACTGTGAAACAGACCTGGGTATTTAAAGAAAATTAAATTTCATTTTAAAGAAACACAAGCAGATGAGAAAGTGAAAGATTATTCAACAAATTAGAGAAAAAAATTAAAATTAGAGCCCTACCTCAGAACCTAATCTGGAATAAACCCCAGATAGTTTAAAGAACGTTTTTTTTTTAAATTACCATAAAACAAGATGAAAACATAGATGAGTAATAAATCTTTACAAGGTGCAAGATGTTCTGTACTCAGCACAAAAACAATGGAAAAAAGCACAAAAGAGAATATTAATAAATCTGACTTTTGAAATGTAAAATATCTCTATATTAGAAGCATCATGAACAAAATTAGAAAACAAACAATTAACCGAGAAGAAGCATTTGCCAAAACTGCAGTGACAAAGGTTATTCTATTTCTGAATTCATCTATGAGAAGAGAAACATAAAAAAAACTAATTTTAAAAATAGGCAAAGGGAAATAGGAAAGAAGACATATAAATGGTTAAGAGGAAATACAAACTGTTAATATGAAAATGATTAACTTAACAACTAATCAATACATGCAAATTAAAATGACAACAGTTTACTTATCAGGTTGGCATAAACTTGTTTAACTGAAAAGAAATATGCATTTTCTTCTTTTTTTTTTTGAGTCAGAGTCTCACTCTGTCATCGCCCAGGCTGGAGCGCAGTGACATGCTCATGGCCACCACAGCCTCAACCTGCTGGGCACAGGTGCTCCTTCCACCTCAGTATTCCAAGTAGCTGGAACTACAGGTGCATGCCACCATGCCCAGCTAATTGTTTAAAATTTATTGTAGAGACGAGGTCTCACCAAGTTCTCCAGACTGGTTTCGAACCCCTGGGCTCAGGCAATCCTCTTGCCTTACCTGTAGTTCCAGCCTCGGTCTCCCAAAGTGCTGGGATTACAGGCTTGAGCCACCATACCAGGCTAGAAACATGCATTTTCATAAACTACTTGTGGGAATATAAATTGATTCCATCTCTCTGGGGAGCAATCTGGTCATGGACAAGACAGAAAAATTCACACCCTTTAGGTTAGGAGTCCCCAAGACCACCCTCAAGTTCTGACTCCCTAGGAGGACCCAGGAATCAACATATAGTCTTGTACTCATGGCTATGATTAATTACACAACTTTCTAGGGCTCAGTCGTATTCCCTTCCTTTACTTCCCAGACTGCTCTTGGCCACACCAAGTACCCCTCCACTAAAGCCCTGATGGGCACTGCCATTTTTTGACACCAAGAGGCAGCCATTTTATCAGAGTATGTAAAAGGTGTAGCACATGTCTTATATTTATGATCAACTTGGCCCTTTTCTTCCTTAGCTCTGCCTCATCCAGTTCCTTGCCAAATTGCTTGGAATCTTTTCTTCTACATTCGTCCAAAGTATTAACTTCCACGACTCCACCCCTCTTTAGAATCTGCCCTGGCCTCAACTAGAAGAGTATGAGACAGGCAAAGAAACAGAACATATAGGAGAAGCACATGAAGGCATTTGTGTACGCCCAAAAGAAAGTGCAAGAATAAACCTGGGAAAATTCATCTTAAAGAAACCAAGTTTTGTGCAAAAAATATGTATCTTGGGTTTTGCAGCCACTAATTTCCTGTGAGATCTCAGGCAAATTATTTCCTGCCTGGAACCTCATCCTGTCTCTCTGGAAGGCTGTAAGCCCAGGTGATTTCTAAGGACTTCTGAGTCCTAATATATTATTGCAGTGTGGACTCCAGAAATATAATGGATGATCTTCAACTGGGTCCAAACCCCTAAGCCACATGCATTAGCTACATGCATTAGCTGGGATAGGGGAGCAGTCGAGACGGGAACTTGAGTACAAAACTATATGTTCATGAGCGCTTTTCAGTGCAAGACTCTAGCGCTATAAATGCGGTCGGTGGCTCGAAGAGCCTGAAGACCTGGATTTTGGAGATTTTGCCAGTTTGGAAACGGCAAAGCTTCGGGACCACCTCATACAGCCTGCACCTTCCCTTCCTGCCTTCTCCCGATCCGAGTGGAGAGGAGATCGGGCCTCGCCTCTTGTCCGGTTGAGCCCTGTCCAGGGGTTTACCTGCTCACAGGCTCTGGCCTGCGGCTCCTCTACGCCTCGTTTCCCACCTTCAGGGGAACACAGCCCGGGAAGCCACCCTGGGCGCCGCCATGTTGGCAGAACAACAACTTTATCGACAGCGGTCGCCGCCGACACAGACAAGCAGGGGCGGAGCCTCCTTAGGGGAAGGAGGGAGAGCAGCCCCAGTCCTCGACTCCCGCAGCGGGTGGGGCGGGGCGTCACGGGACGGGGCGGGCAGGAGCTACTGCGCAGCCGCCTTGGGCTCCACCCTCGGCCTCAGGCCCAGCCTTTTAACCTTGGTCTTTTTTTCTTTTTTCGTTTTTTGGGTTGGAGTCTTACTCTGTCGACCAGACTGGAGTGCAGTGGCCGCTCCCGGCCACCGCAGCCTCGACCTACTGTGTAGAATGTTATCCCATTTCTGATTTTTTTAAAAAGGGAAAGAAAATAAAAGAAAGACATTTGTTAGTATATGCATGGGAATAAATCTAGAAAAATATATACCAGACTATTTCCTGTGATGATCTCAAGGGACAGTGGCATTTATGGGCCTTTCCCTTAATGATCCTTTCGCCTCAGTCTTCCAAGTAGCTGGAACTACAGGCGCGCGCTACCACGCCCGGCTAATTTTTTGATTTATTGCAGAGATGAGATCTTGCCAAGTTGCCCAGGCGGGTCTCGAACCTGCGGGCTCAGGCAATCCACTCACCTCAGCCTCTCAAAGCGTGGTTTTACAGGCTGAACCACCGAACCCAGCTTCGGCCTGGTCTTTGACGCATGTCTGGCATCAGCAAAAGTCTGGTCACTCGGGGTGCAAATTATTGCAATTGTAGCAGATGTGTGAGAGCGGTTTGTTTAGTGGCCCCAGAATAAACTAGGCAGCAGCTGGTGAAAACAGCCCTTGGGGGTAGCAACACACCTCCTGGACTTGGGTAGTCTCTTGACCTCTTGATTTCAGAATGAACCCGCATGGCAATTGAGGCACCTTCTTCCATCGTATTCCGTGATCTATCCCTGGGGCCGGGGGCAGAATTCCCTAGTCAAGGATAGGTTGGGGGTAAATTACTTTCCCACCTGATAAGTGGGCGGGGAGTCAGGAAAGCACAAATGCCTGGGCAAGCCCTTTCCTAAAGGAGTTTATGCATGCAGTGCCACCACCACACACCTGACAAATATTTATTTCTTGTAATAAGTCAATGAATTGCAAAGGACAGTTCCTTTAAAGCATACTTTTCCAAAAGGTAAAACCTATTTAAAGAAGAATTTGAAGATGTGTGTGAGCAATCAAGAAATGAATTTGTGAATTGTGCAAAATTGGTTGATATCCTATAGAACAACACACAAAAAGTAACATTTGGGAGCCATCTCTTTCTACAGAATTGAAATCCATTGTACCAAACAAAATTAATCTCATGAGTCTCCCCAAGACTCACGGTGGATGCCTGAAACCTTAGGTGTTTTTCCATAGACACAGTAAGAGGTTAATGACAATGGTACAATAAAATAGAACAATTATAACAACATACTGTAATAAGAATTTTGTGAGTGTGGCCTCTTTCAAAATGTCTTACTGTACTGTACTTATCCTCCTTTGATCTGAGATGGCTATTAGGTGACTAATGGCCGGTTGGATGCACTGGACAAAGGAATGATTCACAATGGTTCAGGTCTCAGGCAGGTCGGAGCAGGACAGGTGTGATTTCATCACCTTCTCAGAATGGTATGCAACTTACAATATATGAATTATTTATTGCTGGACTTTTTCATTTATATTTTTATGTAAAATTTTTCATTTTCAGACCTTGGTTTACTGTAGGTAACTGAAACCTCTGAATTGTCAGAAAATGCAGCTGTGGATAAGGGGGAACAAGTATATCCATATTCTACATTTTGGCTTCTGTTCTTACAGAGACAGACAATGCCTAGTCAATGGAAGGCATGCAAAGGGCACATATCCCTGCAGAATGATAATTCCCCAATCAGCACTCCACCCTAGGGACACACAGTATTTATGTCTTTAACGAAATTCCTTGACAGTTCAAAATCCAAATACCTTGTCATTAAAAATGTGGCCTCCAGACCAGCATCAGCCTCACCTGGGAATTTGCTAGAAATGAAAAATTTACCCTCTACCCCAACCTGCTGAGTCAAACTCTGTATTTTAACAAGATCCCAAAGTGATTCTAGGCACATTCAAGTTTGAGGCTTACTGCTGTAAGATCTAGCTCTTTTCTAGACCTAACTCTTTTCTAGTTGTCTACTCATTTTACAGACTAATAAACTGAGACCCAACAGAGCTGACTGTCTTGTGCAGAGTCATATGGCAAGTTAGTAAAAGATTTGGTATTCAAAACTAGATATTCAGTCTGCCAGACTAGTACCCTTCTCAAATTGCACAATGGACGATCACAAGGAGCTTAGAACTTCCAGTCCAAACCTTTTACTTCAAAGATGAGGACACTGAGATTCAGAGATTGGACATAGCTGTCTTAAGTTCACACATCTAGTTGATGGTAGATCCAGGATTCCAACTCAGGTCTCTTGGTCTCTTCTACCCCCAACATCAGATGCTTAATTTAAACTGCTGCCATGGAAACATTGACTAGCATATTAACCTGCCACACTTAATGCAGTTTAACCTTTAGGTATGTCATGCTGCATCCATATATAACTAGAATACCTCTTTCTCTAAAGTGCCCAAAATACAGTCTCTACCCTTATTTCGGCATTTTGGTTCAAAATCTCTCTTTCCTATTATGAATTAAAGTTAACATTGACATTTCTAGATTATTTCAAGTAGAATTTTTCTAAAAGTCACTTGCTTTGCTGGAAAGTTGCTATTTTTACTTCAAAGAAGACTGTAGCATGAAAGTAAATCCCTTTTACTCTTAAAAAGCTTGCTTTAATACATTATTAAATGAAAGAGACAAGTTGCTTGGCTGTGTAGAATGTTATCCCATTTCTGATTTTTTTAAAAAGGGAAAGAAAATAAAAGAAAGACATTTGTTAGTATATGCATGGGAATAAATCTAGAAAAATATATACCAGACTATTTCCTGTGATGATCTCAAGGGACAGTGGCATTTATGGG